GATATAAGTCTGGATCTGAGTGTACATGTCGATGTCAGCGAGGCTGTTGATGCATAAGCACTGTTGTTCTTCTCTTTAATATGCAAATAATCATACTCCCAGTCACACGTATGCAACCACATCTATATCAATCCACCACCATACTCACAGATCCTAGTAACACATACAATCCACCTCGACATATCCGCACCCAAGATCGTATACGGCACCACTTCACTCCCAGCCTCACCTACACCAACATCAAATACTTACAAACATATGCACATTCACAGTTCACACATATATTACATCACTAAACTCACACTCACACTCACATTCCCATCCACGTTAACATCTAAAATACACAAAGCATCCGACAACAATACTAACATACCTATATGAGTATGCACATACCCAAAACTGACACCAACCACCAACCCCTTCATAACACCCAAAATTTGCACATACGCCACGCAAACGGATAGACTCTATATCCAAATTTACTTTCACACCTCAACACCTATGCCCACTCTCACATATGATTGGCACGATTATCAATCTGAAAACAATGAATGAATGAAAATTATACCTAGAAAACTTGTCAGTCCCTGATGAAAAAACCTCATTTCAAACAACTGCTCAAGACTCTCACAAATCTATGAGTACACAAGACTTGACAGATACAAAAAAAAATACAACCAAGCAAACTCATGTTATTTCATATAATTGTTCCTTCAGTTGAGGGAATTATTTGTTTCACAATGACTCTAAAGATTATTTTAATGGAAATTCAATTTATTTCTCACTTTCAATTTGAAAGAAACTCGATTAGTCGACTATTGTTAGCAAGTAAATCATTCTTGAAGATTATTGACTGATTGATTATAACTTTTGTTATAAAAATCATCTTATTTTAGAGATAAAACTATCTTTGGAAAATTTGCTCAATGAAAATTTGATTTATATCTCATTTTGAATTTGATACCTTATAAAAATAAAAAACTGTTGCAATTATTTAATTTTTAAGTATTTGTTTTATTTTAAAATATTTGTCTAACTCAAACAGAGACCTGATAATATTTAAATAAATATTTTTGTATTAAGGATTTATAGAATTTCTGATACAATGAAATATATGGCATATATTGATGAATTCAAATTATTCTGATACACGATCTAGTTTATATATAATTCACTTGATTTGATTGATTGAAATATAATTTGAGTAGCGTGCAGCTAAAATTATCAAGATATTCATATTACTATTGAGCAATTTATGAAAAAGTCGATACATAATACTTCACTTTATTTCTCCGTCATAATATTATTGAACAATACATGTTAATAATGTCAATTTATTTACAGTAATTCTTCAATATCTAGTCATCAATCCGAATATCCAAAAACAAATACAGCCTTCATCAATTTATGGTTTGTTTATTTTTGTTTACACTTTCGTTATTTTTTTTGAATTTTGTTCTTTTTGCTTGTGCTTAGAAAAATGCGATGCACCGTCCTAATGAGCGTTTTAATATTTTCATTAATAACATAGAACACATCGGTGAAATTAACTCTACATTTCTTTTACATCATTGTTATTCTAGCACACTTGTTTATTATTCTATTGTTATTTTATCTTCGACTTAATCAGTTGCTGAAAAGCAAGAGTTCAGAATAACAGATTGGACTTGTATTTTCGTTAAGAGATAGATTGATCTGTTTTTCAATTAATTTACGTACACCCATACCATTCGACATCAATTACTGTCGGTGAAAGTTTGTCAAAAGCTTTTTTTTTCGTAAAAACGCCATTCTTCACAAAAAATTATCAACCTCACAATTTTGAAAGACCTATTACAGGTTTGCACTGTGGGACCCCGATTACATATTGTGCAATTGAATAAATGACACCAGTGAATGTGAACAGGTGACTGGACACGTGCGAGCAAACGCACACACGCAAGCAGATTTATTTCTTATTACTCTTCCTTCAGTCAAGGGAAGAAAAAATATCATTTTTTTCGTAAAAAAGCCTTTCCTTGACAAAAAAATATCAATCTCAAAACTGTGAAAAAATTTCAAAATCATTGGATAATTTATTTGTTGAAGGCAGCTTCGATGTGTTAATCCCTGTAGCTTACGGAAAAAAAGAAGAGTTTAGACTTTATACCGCTAGATAATGCAGGAGGTAAGTGAAGACAATAAGCAACACTATTTCTTGTCAATGAGTCATCAAAAATACGGTCACGCCTCGCTTACGAGGAGCAGCAAGGAGATAAAATATATGCATGTAGCTGGCTTTTGCGTGCATTTTTATTTCATCTTCACGTACATAGAAATATCGTCTTTACTATCGCCTGCTTGCCGTGAGATTTAACAAGTAACAGCGCTATTTGTACGCTCTTGTGTGTTCGTTTACAGTCCATCATGGCGAAAGAGAAATTTCGTATGCAAATCGCGGCTATTAACGATGTGAACTCCGACACATCCACCATTAGTGGCCATTTTATAAAAAATGGACTGACTTCTTCAATAACACGCCAGCGTCGCAGTGAAGTCGAGACGATTTCTAGCTCAGGATTTACTACTAGTAAGAATATCAGTATTTTATAGTAAAATGTGCTATGTAATAGAGATTTTAAAAAAATCGCTTCTATTTAGTGTTGTCCCTTGGTGTGCTCCTGGTCGCCGCCGCTATTCTTGTACTCTTCGTTCGGTACACCATTCGGCGTTATGAGAAACATACAGTTGTCGATCCAAGGCTACGTGAAGAAAAACTACCGGACGTCTGAATAACATATTAGTCTCTAAGTGATTCCACATCAGAATACAAATCAAAATGCCTCATAGGAAGCGTCTCCAAGCTGTTTTTTACTATTCATTGCTTTTTAGCCAGATCCCTGTTTAAATAGTTAATATTGTAACTTTTTGTCTACTCTAATTACTGATAAATGATTTAATAAATATACATTAAATCTCAGACGACTAAGGGTGAGTCAGACCAGCTTATTCACGGTCCTCACAAACTAGGATCGAACCAACCACTGATAGACCAGTCACAAAACCTAATTTTTTTGCTACAATTAATGTGGTGTATATCGTTGCTCTTTTCTTCGAAAAAAAATACATAACTTAGGCACGGATTTCGGATATATACGTCACTCATAGTCATCTGTTTCAACGATGAAAACAATATTTGTGATGCGTGAATTCAATTTCAATTATATTTCGTACGTGCTTTCTTGTTTTTTTCTTCAACTTTATTTTGAGAAATGATTTGATTTGTAATTAAAATTCACGATTTCAACAACAAACATTTTAATATACAAGCCTAAAAGAAAATCGATACACGTAATTAGCCTCAGACAGCCTGAATGACAAATTGCATTCTTTCGTCTTGAACAGATTTTCTGTTATTATCTCATCCTTGCTGGTCGTTCCAAGGATGCTCATTTGTATGGTTTTCATGTGTTCAGCGCTTAAATTGCTTGCAATGTGCACACAACTCATCCATGCACTCGAGTGCTTATCTAAAGAAAGAAAGTCATGTGCTATAAACAAACCTTGAGTTATGCACATGTCAAGCACATGTGATTGCTACTAAAGTTATTTGGCTGCTTTTCTATGCCTCTATTTTTTTTCTAATTCTAGCGTGACATTTTTCATATTCTGACGACATCTATGATAAAAAAAAAACTGCAAGTTTCAAAAACTCTATTATTTATTATAAGAAACTTCGTTTTTTTTTTCTATTCAAATATCACTCGATCAACATTGTTTTGATTACATTTGTTATTTGTTATTATGTCAGACTGAGTCATACCTTGGTCATAGACAAAAGAAAGTAAAGTAAGTTAGAAAGTAAGAGAAAGAAGTATACTGTGGCATAGTAAATTATTTGTTTGCCCAGTTGAATAATCCTTCTTTATCATTTTCTCACAAATGAATGTTGGTGACTAACTATTCTTCAAAAGGAATCTACGATTTCAATGCTATAATAGTTGTTCTTAAGGTTTCTCGCGAATTCATGATTTTCTTCTCTTCTTTTAAAATGTGCGTCACTATGATGTTTTGTACACGCAAATGCTTTTACCTGTTTCGACATGTAAAACAACAAATTAATAAAAAAAAAACAATGTTTTTGTACTTTAGGTTTTTCCTACTTTTGATCAATAAGAAATGGCAATCAATACTGAATGAGCATTTAATATCACAAGTACTTTAAATAATACAGAGAATATGTCATCATTAATTAATAATAGAAATACAAGTAAATGATAACGCAATACATTCAATTATTGGGCATATTATTGAATGAACAATCAACAATAATAAACACATTATCAGATAGTTTGTTTATTTCTCCTTGAATTTCATTTCAGTTTGGTCAATTAATGTCAAATCATCAATTCTAATTTCGGTTAGTTAGTAGTCTATTTGTTTTTCTTATCATTGATTGATTTCTTTTAGATTATTTAATTTTTGAAATATCATAGAAGAGATGATCCATTACGTACAACAATGATTAACCATGATCAAACTAAAGATATCTATGAGCCAAAACAGTATCAATTTATTTTTCTTAACGAGTAACAATACCAAAAAAAATTCTACATAAGACAGTGTATTAAAAGATCAGACTCGTCAAATATAATTGAAAGTCGACTAAAAATAATTCCGATAAATTGAACTTTTACTACAACTGTTTGATCCAAAATCTTATTTTTTTGCTTTCTACTAGTGCATTCGATTAGAATATGTGTGTGCTATTTTTTATATGATTACGATTATTACTCAAGTTGATTATGTTTCTGTTGTTACATATCATCACATAAAATTAACTTGTTTTTTTTTGTCTTTCTAATATGTTATATGCTTTTTTTTTGTTAATTATTAAATGTATTTGATTAGTTCAAAAGAATTTTAACATTAACTTTTATATGTCAAATTTTCTTTTCGATAATCACCAATATATTTACAAAGAATTCTTTCTACTTTAGATCCTATATTTAATAAAGATAATGGCAACAGCATTACGAAGTAAAGAAAATGATTGTGATTTTCCTTTATTTAAAACGCCACTTCGTACTCCTTTGCGTACACCAAGTAAGAATTCATCTCAAATAATTATAAAATCTTCTTAATAATGAATTAAAATTACTTCTAGTACGCAATCGTATGTTGTCATCAGCAACAATAAATGATTTAACTTTTTATTCAAATAATATTAAGAATCTTAAATTAGTTGGTACGACAAGTATGAATGATTTACAAATGTGTAATGATACGATGATAACACCAATTCGGTTAAATAAAAATAAATTTTCTACACCAGGATCTATTCAACGTCGTCGTGCTTTAGGTCTTGTTAATAATAATAACCAAATATGTCATACATCATCAAGTGATGATTCTTCAGCCTTAACTAATCTTAAAGAACTAAATAATAAACATGATGAACCTGTTGTTCTTCAGGCACCATCTTCTAATATGACATGTTCTTCTTATTCCGAAGATGATCTTCCACATAAATCAAATAATACTCATTCTTATGAAGATACATTCGATGATCTTATACCAATTGATGAACGTATTGAACGTATGATTACAAATCAAACAAATGGTATTAATTTATTTGCGTTTTATGGTGGTATCGAGAATACAGTTCGATGCCAATCACCACATTCTGCTCGTATTGATGTATCTAGTCTACTTGATATGCTCAATTAAAAATTAATTTCAAAATTATTTTTTTTTCCACATGATAACAATCAGTTTTTGTTCCTAGTTACTAAAATCTTCTTCTTTTTCTTTTTATATTTTCACTGAGTTTCGGATCTCGAAAATATGACTATAGAAATGTGTTTTTTTTTACTTTTTCTTTTTCTTTTTGGCTGTGTATATGTGTCCATTAGTGTATGCCTGTTTGTGCTTAGAAACTTGTAGAAAAATAAATCATATGAATTATTCCTAGAATAAATCTTCTTTTTATAGATTATAGAACAAAAAAAAAATATATTGTTTTTTTTATGGATAACTTACCATCAATTGGTGATCGTAATACACAAACAATTATATGTTCATTTTGTGATGATATAATACTTCGTCCACAAACAGCTATTTTAACCAATAAACCAACATTATTACCACAAATGAATATAGAAAAAACTCCATCATCAGATACAGAAAATAATCGTTTATCAATCAATGGTAATGATCATATGTGTGATTCATTAGAAACATTTTGGCTTGTATCCGATATGTTTACATTTGAAAATGTTGGTTTTTCAAATACAGTTAATAATCAAACAAAATATCTTGTTTGTGCTAATTGTGAACGTGGTCCAATAGGTTTTTCTCCAATAAATCCATTAACTAGACAATTAGAAAAAGAATTTTATGTTGCTATTGATAGAATTAAATATAAATAATCATTTATAAGATTTATTCTATTGTGCATGAAAAAAGACCTTATTTTTTGTTTTGGTTAAATCAAAAGAGAAAAACAATTTTTTTTTCAGATGACGACTCCTAGATGGGATATGAAATCAAATTATATGCTTACTTTTACTGTTTGTAAATATGGTTTAAATCCGGAACGATGGGACTTAATTGCAAATGATCTAGCTGACGATATCAATACAACACCACAAGTAAATATATTTTATTTTATCTTTTTGTAAAACACAATCCAAAGGGAATATTGAAATATGGAGGTAGAAATTAGATCCTCTCCTCGACAAATGTGATAGATGTTTCGATGTTTATATAATGACATCAAATGCTCAACTAGGTTTCTCTTCATTGATTTATATTTTTCCTTCCAAAAGTATTTCACTATCAAGATAGACAATACAATGAATATATTATTTAGTTAAAATAAAGAAAAACACTTACTATCGGACTCGCTCGCTAAACTCAACATATGTCCATAAAAAGGCTACATATATATACAATATTGGTTGAGAGATCTCACTAAAAAAATAGTAAAGGTTATATAACATCAATTTCATGTTATTGTTCACATTTCCCGTTTTTTCGTATGTTCAAAATTCGCAAAGAATCAGAAGATCTAACAATTCTAATCGCAGCGTGTGAATTAGTGAAGAAATATGTTCTGAAATAGATAGAAAAAAAATCTTCCTGTGATTAGTAACAGCATTTTCATTATGCTTCACATATTAATCTCGTAAGGATTGAACTAACAGTTTTTTTTTCTTATAGAATTGTAAAGCACAATTTTATTTATTATGTCAACAATATGGTCAAGATTGGTAAAGAAATATTTTCTAAAGTTTTATTTCGAAATTAATTTGTTCTTATTTTTTCTTTCCAGGCACAAAGAATCACTTGAATCTCTTGATAGTCATATTTTTTCAATAGTAAAACGTCTTTATTACGGTGATCTATGCGAACGAATGACTGAATCACGAGATTTACTTATGGTTATGTATGATTTTATACGTTTGTTTAAAAGTGGTCGAATTAAACTCAATGATATAAATGAAATTTTACAAGATGTTAAAAATAGGTATTAGAAAATTATCTTTTTTTGTTTTTATTTTCTCTAAATCAAAAATTTTCTTTTTCTCTTAGTTCTATAACTGATAATAATACACAAGATAATGAACGAGAGCAAAAAATAAAAATGCTTGGACGTCTTAAATTACATATGACACAACATATGTCACAAACATCAAATGTACAAATAATTTTCATAATTAATTTCATTTTACATAATTAAAAAAAAATTTTTTTTTTTCATATTTGTTTTTTAGTCGCAAGATTCTTCAAATTCAGTTGAATTATTACCTCCACCACCTTTTTTTCAATATCAACCAACAAATACAAATTATATTTCACAAGAACAATCAATTGTAACAACAGATGATAATGATCGACAAGTGCCATCAATAGATAATCATAAAAAATCTGATACAACTGATATATCATCATTTCCAATAATAACACAAACCAATCATATTTTTACTGAAAATGAAAGTGAATCATCAAATAATTATAATAATAATAATCAATCAAATGAAATTGATATTGATGAAATAGAACTTAGTTCAAATGATGATAATGATCAAACTGAAACAGTACAAACGTCTAATATTGATGACTCCGTAACGAGTACAAATTTAATTATGGATCAAGATGAATCAACATTTATGTCAGGTGAACAAATAGAAACCAATGTATCATCAACTATACCACCAATACCTATTGAAGTATCGAATTCAAGTGATAAAGATTTATATGAAATTGTAAGTAGTAATGGTGTTAGTAATCAATCAATATCTGATACTCGATTATCAACTGAAGAACGAGCAACATCAAGGTATATTTATCTTTTATTTTCTTCATCATTTATTAGTAAAACAAAATCAAAATATATGATTTTTTTCAGTATCAACGGTCTACCAACATCATCAAATCTTCAACTCAATACAAATATTACTAGTTCAAGTGATTATTCTAAATTAGATAATGATCGAATAGAATCGACAGAAGATCTAAATCATCATTCGATTCAAATTGAATCAATTGTAATAACATCGAAACATATTTCTGTTGATGATAATGAAATTAATCAAATGGATACACAACATATTCAAGACGATAATACTGATGTTACAGGACTAAATAATAATACTGACACTAGTTTTATTGTTGATGAAACCGTTTCGAATACAGATATGTCTAAGATTTCCATATCATCAAAAACTAATGAAAATGATGAATCAACAATTACAAGAAATTCAAATAGAAAATCACGGTAAGAAAATTTTACAGAAAAAAAAAAACATTCTGTTTTGTTTTTTGTTTTCTTCAGTTTGACATCAAATTCATCATCTAGTAATTTTCGTAAATCGATCATATCAATTCTTAATAACTTAAAAACTGCTAAGTAATATAATTTTTTTTTTTTGTTTTTTTCTATATTTAATTATCTTTTTCTTTTAAGATATGGTTCTGATTTTGCTAAACCACTTAAATCATTTAAATTACCTGATGAATATTATGTTCGTATTAAAAAACCATTAGATATACCTGAAATACGTGAACGTATGAATAATGGTGATTATGATGATAATATTCTTTTATTTGAACGTGATATTTTATTAATGCTTACAAATGCTTTATCAATGTATCATCGAGATCTTGATATTCATGACCATGCACAATATATGATAAATTATGCTATGGAATTATTTTCAGTAAGAAAATTTGATTATTAATTTTTAACCTTTTTTTTTTATATTTATATTAAATTGTTGTTAATAAATTCTAGCCTATTGAAGATGTTCGTACTCCATGGAAAGATGATAATGATTCATCAAATGTATATCATTCTGACCAGGAACATAATAGTAATGATAATACATTGAATACTTCATCAAGTATTCAAACATCTTTGACAGTATCAATATCATCATCTATTCGTGTTGATTCATCAACTAAAAGTCTTCGACGTCAAACAACATCAAATCATCCAATGAATAAACGTCAACGTAAAACGATTCAATAATTCTTATTCTTGTTTTGTTATACATCTACTGTTTCTTTCATCATACCTATGTTTTTTTTTACATATTTGATTTTTTTGTTGTATATACATGTGAATAATAATTTCTGGTTATGTAAACAAAAAAAAACAAACATGTTCTTTGTTATATTCTTCCTAATATGCACCTGTATTGATTTGAAATAATTGGCAAACAAAAAAAATAATAATAATGAAAGAAAAGAAAAACAAAACTTTCGTATATCATGATAAAATTTAGAAAAAAAAAAACAATGTCTATTCAGGTACAAGACAACTACGATCTGTATTTCCACTATTACTATATTTTAAATGGACGAGCGCTTTAGTTGTTGAAACACCTGTAGATTTTGAAGAATGCGCAGAATGATGATAACGTTGTGCTGAATTTTGAATATTTCGATATTGAACTAATTGAACGAGAGGTTGAACAATTTGTTCTTTTTGATGTTGCTCTTCAGAACGAAGAGTGAATGATACAGGTGGTAAAGATCGTTTAGAAACACGTTTAGATATTTGTTCATCTCCATGAATTTTACGTTGTAACAAATTATGTGAATTAGAAACATTTTCCGGACTGTCTGGACGAACAGGTAAACTTGATGAAATTTTATTTGAATTATCAATAGGAATATCAAAGACAACATCAAGTGTTTTACTACGTTCTAAATAACGAAATGGATCATCATTTTTCTTTCCAACAACTGCCGGTAAGATAGCAGTAGATGTAGAAGCTGATGTTTGACGATTTTGAAAATGTTTAACAATAGAAATTATACCTGTTTGAGGTAAAATATCAGAATTCGATGGTTTACGATGTGCTGAATAACGATCAAGTGTTTTTGTATTAGTATTATTGTAAACTCCAGCTGATCGAGGTGGTGAATTATCACTAAGAAGTTTTTTAACCGAAACTGATAGATAATCAGAAGAAGTAAGTGATGCTGAATCTAATGAGGGAGGTGTTGGAAGAGAAGGATCTAAGAAGAATAAACACAAAAGGAAAATTTATTATTTTGTTTTTCAATAAATAAGAAAAAAAAGAAAGAAACCTTTCGTTATCTGCGTATTAGTTTTTGAATCATTATGTGGTTTTTCAAGTTTTAGTTTTGCTTGTGTTAATTCTTGATGATTTCTTTTAATCATTGAATATTTTTTCATAAGTTCATTGATCATTGACGAATTATTAGATCCTGATGTACTTTTTGATTCATGATTAGTAGATGTTTGTTTAATATTTGCAAGTAAATTTTTTGATGACATAGGTTTTTCTGATACAACCGATTGAACTGTTTCTTCTGTATGATTTGCTGAAGACGATAGACGATGAGTATGTGAACGTGTACGTTGATGTTTAATACTTTTACTTGATCCTTTACCATCTGATTTAGTTGTATGACCACTTTTACCTGAACGCGGTCGTTCTTCAGATTGATCTGTTAGATAATCTTCATAATGATAAACACGAGGTATAACAAGAGGTTCAGATTTTTTTGAAGATGTTTCATCGATTGATTTTGTTTCAACATTTGTTGTTAGTTTCATTATACTTGATCGACGACTTTTAATAGATATTGATTGTGGTGATTGAGATTTTTTTTCAAGTAGTTTAAGATCTGGTGGTGTTATTCGACCTATAATATTTCCAACACTCTCATCAAAATCATCATCGTCATCAGAATCAGGTTTCGGTAACCAAATTTCTAAGGAACATTTTTGTTTAATATTACCATTATGTGAAGAAGTTTTTTCATAAGTTATTCTATCAAGTGGTCCACTACTAAGAATTTTTTGAGATCTAATACGTTTTTGTAGTGATGATGATGTACGTATATTTGTTGTTGTTTGTTTTTCATGATTTGATACAGATGATGTTTCATTTCCGGTATGATTTGATTGTCGACTAGTTGAATTAATATTTGAAATTGAAATAAGATATTTATCAAGTTTTATTCGTGTAGCTACTAAACGTTTAAATGTAGGTGAATTAGCACGTAAAATTTCAACATTAGGTCGTGCTGATGTAGCTAATTTTGATACATCATTTATATTATTAGATCCATAGAATATATTGGCTATATCCTCTTTTGTCCATCGATTATCTGTATTCGTACGTATCGCTTCAGTATCATCAGATATTCTCGGATCAGTACGATAATGTGAAGGAAGTGATATACCACGATCAATTGAAGTTAAACCTTTGTTTTTTTTTAATAAAAAGAAAATAGTAAGATTTTATTCGTCTATCTTTCTATACACGACGATGTTGAAATGAAAACAAATATCTCAAGAAAAAAAAGGAATAAGATTAATACTTACCTTTGTTACGTTTCGTTGTCATTTTACAAGAGTAAAATAAAATTTTCTGAATTAAACCTATTAATTTTTTTTCTTAGTATTATTCATGAAAATATCGTTTTTTTGAATGTTAATTCAACATATATATTCATTTATATAATTTGATGTCACATGTATGAATGTTGTTTCAAGTTTTTAGCTAAAGGTAAGTAAATATAGGCTTTTTTTACTGTTTCATTTAATCGACCGTATTTTTCTTTTTTTTTATTCTTCAACAGCTTTGTTCGAATTGCTGTTCTTTTGTTTGTTTTTACATTACTTTGTATAGTTGTTCACTTTTTTTTTTCTTTTTTAAAATCATTGACATTTTGATGTATGTTTTTTGGGCTTGTCAATGTTGATGCATAATATTTTACAGGCTACATATATACATGTATGAAAATGTTATTGAAATCTTATAAAAAAAAATTGAGAGGATTTTGTTTTTTCTTCGTTTTGAAAAAAAAGTGGCAATCAACATTTCATAATTATATCGATTAGTCTTGATTAATTCTAAGCTACACTTTTGTTTTTCATTAATATGAAAAAAGGACTACTATATAATGTTGCAGTTATCTAGTTTTCGTGCTACTGTTTTATCATGTGCCAATATTTAGATTTTTTTTTGTTTCTGTATACCTTTAATATATGAGCCAAAACGACTGTTATATCTATCACATCATCGTCGTGATAAAATGCTAGACAAATACTTTGATAAGAATAGGAGGATTATGAATAAAAAAAAAAGTCCTTCAAAAAAGAAAAAATAAAAGACATCAAGTAAGTAGTTGGTCATGATTATCTACTTTTTCGTTAACCGAAAGAGTGCATTTTATTCAACGTTCGATGCAGGCAATGATCTCGTACGCAGCACCTATATATAAGTATATTCGAGGGTCATGGTTTGTCATTTTCGAAGTATATATAAAGAATTTATAATTATTGACAATAAGGATAATGAAAGAACAAAACTGAAAAATATATATGAAGTACAGATAACATTAACTATATCATATAAAGTTAACTTATTAAGTACAGAGTGCATACATTATTTTTCCTTTGAATTGAAAAGTGAAATCATTTGATAAGCTATCTTTTTCATGTTTATTTCGGATATTAGTCCGTAATTGGATTGTGTAAGTATACAAGAATTTTGTCTATATTTAATAAATGTTCTCAAAATATTATCATTTGATCGAAATCAAAAGTAAAGAGTATGATACGCAAGAGTGTTTATCACTATTTAAACTATCTTAAATCTATAATTTGATAATAACATTCTTGTCATTATTTAAAATTCATTAATAATAAGTATTATTTTTTATTCTTGCATTTTTCTCGATATGAATAATGATCAAGGTCAAATTTGTTCTGTGATATCTGTTCTGATTTTACATTCTAAATATTTAATGTAAAGATAAATTACAAACTTAGGACATTTTTTAATATCATCGATAAATAACGTATTGATATCAGCAGTAAACGTGAAAAACAAAACTAGGACAAATATTTACCTTGTCATAGTATGACAAGCAAAAAATGTAGAAGAACTATTAACATAGCAAAATGTTTATAAAGAGCATGCAAAGAACTGACTAATACATCATAAGATTCAAATTATATACTGTTTTTAGATGATTAAATTTATCTTAATCTTAGTCTGTATTAAACTTGGATATAGTTATCCGGAAGATGCACCGAATAGTGCCTGTACTTCAATGATGCTTCATCACGATGTTGTACCAAAACAATGTCAACCCAAATATATTATTCAATCGGACACCTCTGAATATGATATTAATGACATTATTCGAAGTAATATTAAACATGAAACGAGTTGTGTCAAACTAGAAACTTTTCTGCTAAAGAAATTCGACTCAATTTCATCAGTCTGAGAATCAGTATGGAACTTTGACTAGTTGTTACAAGATTATTTTGTATTTTACAATCAATCAACTTTTTTTTTTATTCTCGAGTGGGTCACAGGTATAGAAAGTTTTTTTAATCAGCATTCTACTAAAAATCATTGTAGTGTGGCAGAATCGAGTTTGTTGATTAGAAATATCACATTTTTGTTTAAAACTAATTAATCAGATAATAACAAAGAGCTGAAGAAAGTTTGTGAGAGATCTGAAAATCAGTTTTGGACCGAAAAAGTTATCAAAATTTAATTTAAATGCGTCGAACATGAGCTCATTCGTTGAAGATTTTTTTTCTCTATTAGAACGTATAAAAACCTTGCGCACATTCAAACCATTTCTTACCGATAAACACTAAATTCTGCCTCGATTGAGTCATATTCCTATAAACAGTCGTATTTTCACTTTTATGAAGTATTGCTTTATATAAATACGTCAGTGATTTTACTTTGATCGAATATGTAAGTCAATCTGTTCTTTCTCATGTGACTATTGTCAACATGAGATTCTATGCCACTAAGCCATTTTTGCTTCGAAATTGAGATCTTTAAAAACACGTTGAAATGTGTCAGTTTAAAGAAAATAGTGATTTTAATAAATATCAAATTTTATGTTGAAAATAGTCTCATCAGAGAGAAGACATTGTACTACTCATTAAAAAAAAAACAACTTGCTAGTTCGTTCATATCAACTATAACTTCATAAGACTGAAAACAAAACTGTAGGAAGGAATACGGCCTAATTAAGGTTTCCCCCCTCATAAAATGTCAGTTTTCGTTGGAATGGTCGAAGCTGAGATAAATACATGGGAAGATAGCCCGTCATCTGCTCTTTCATAAACGATAATTTGTTTTTCTCGTTACTTCATTTTTCCCAAAAAATTTTCAAGATTTCCGTCAACCCCTATTCGAAAAACCAGCTGTTTTTTGAAAAATCAAAAAATGTTTTTCGTTTTTTCTCAGTTTCCGCTTTCTCAAAAGCGCATCCCAAATTTCTCGTTCCTGGTTCATTCAATGCATTAATATTTTGTTTTTGTTTAAAAGACCGTCTCAAGGCGCAGGGCATGATGAGGCCACTTTTTTTAATTAAGCCTTTGTTTGGTCAATATACAGCCAGTTATATGGTTTGGTTATCATTTTTTGACACTTTTTTCAGTAATTGAACTTGTGATCTCTTTTTTGCGCTTAAAAAGGGACTATTTCAAAAAAACGGCCCCATCATGCCCTGCATCTTGAGATGCTCTTTCCAACAAAAAAAAAATATTAATATATTGAACGAATCAGGACCGAAAAATTTGGGATGCCAAACGAGTCATTTTTGACCCTTGTTTGGTTCATATCTCCCTAAAAACTGAAGATTTCGAGCCGAAAATTTTATGGTAGTCTTCCCTCTCCAGTCCCAACATATCCTGAAAGTTTCATGCAATTTGGATGTTCCTGAGCTGAGATTGATTTTTGAGGGGGGGGCTTAAGGCCGTATTAAGAATTCATCTTTGGGAAATGATTTGAATATTCATTAAATTTTGATAGATTTTGATAGAGAGAAAATTTCTGAATTGAATGAACCTAGCTGGACGAATCTAAATTAGGCTTAGATGACCTTTTGTATCGACAACTAATTATTAGGTCTCTCGAAAAGTTCTTCAGCTTTCTTTTATTATCTGCCTAGTTTTGAAAAACACGTGATATTTGCAATCAGTACACTCGATTCTTCCAAACTACAAGGATTTTTAATGGAACGCTGATAAAAGAATTTTTCATACTTGTGATAGAAACAACTGTAAAAGAAATGAGTGATTGTAAAATACAAGATAATCGTGTAAAAAGCACGCAGTATTTTATGCTTATTCTCAGACTGATAAAACAAAGTTAAATTTTTTGAGTAGTAAAGTTTATAGTTTGATACACCTGTTTTGATTTATATTGTGGGTGTTTGTTGTATTTCAGTTACTGTTCGTGCTTCAACAAATATTGATTATTTTAAAGGAATTCTTTTAATCGCAGTAAATCAAAATAGTCAACATATTATTGGTACTTGGTCCACAACAAATTCATCAATAAAAACAATTTCTTGCGATGGAACAAAAAATGCTGCTATAACTGATTCATCAGCTGATAATAAGTTACAAATCGAAGCACTATGGCATGCACCATCAATCCTATCTGAAGACAAAACTATCATTAAGTAAATATTTGTTTTTCTATGTATACAAATATATACAAATAACATAAATATATAGAGCAGCAATTGTAACATCATATGATGAAATTTATGTTGATTGTTTTACTATTACATTAACACCTAAACAAGTATTACGTATTCCATCAGTAGCAACAGATACTGGAAGAAGTATATTAACAAAAACAAAAACAAATATAACATGGCATTATACTGAAGATACAGTAACAGTAACCGTAGCAGCAGGACATATGAATATTCGTGAATGGATAGCTATTGGTTTTTCACTTGATCAAGAAATGGTAAGAAAATAAAAACAAGTTCCTTTTTTATTTTTTATTTTCAGTAATATTTTATTTCTGTATTAGGGTGATGAATATGTATTTATATGTCAAGTTCCATCAACAGGTATTGCATCACTTCGAAGAATGCATACAAAAGCTGGCAAACGACCGTAATTATTATCTTTTTCAAAGTATTTTAGTATGTTCATAGTTGTATTTAATAGTCCAACAGCGTCTGAAGTAGCAGTAAATGTAATTGATGCAAAATATGACAATGGTTTCGTTACTTGTCATTTTTCATTTGAAACAACTTCTGAACAAGCTAATAATGAATCAGCACCGATTGTCATAGAAAAAGATTACCATCTTACTTTTGCTGGTGGAATTTTAAGAACAGACGGTATACGCTTTTAGAAAAACTTCCTATGAATATTTGATCAATTTATGTTTTATTATAATAGAACAAGTAGCAAAACATAATTTTACATTTGTTTCATCTAAAACTTATCAATTACAAAACGCTGAAACTATTATATTTGATGATTCAGATGTAAGTATAACTTATAAAATTTTCAGTCTTATCAACATAGAAAATAATATTCTATATTCTATAGACAAATATAACTGACAATAATAACACTTTATCAAATTCGACAGGTAGTTCTTTGACTACGACTACAACAGCTTCACCAACAAATGATGTTGGAGTTAATGTTAGTTGGACATATGCTAATGGCATAACGACAGTGAAAATGGTAATTAATAATTTAAAAATATCTCAATGGTTTGCAATGGGTATTTCGCTTGATGACTTTATGGTATTAAATTTACATATATTTTACACAATAATATATTTCATTTTGTTCAGGGAGAAGATCATGTATTTATTTGTCAACATTTAAGTAATAATACAATATCTCTTCAACGTTTTATTAATCCAGGTGGTCATTCACGACCAATACCAGCTAGTACAATGGCCGATCCAGGTGGTAGTTTCAATGTTACTCTACAAAAATTGGAAAATGGTATAACCTATTGTGATTTTACTTTATCAAATTTTGTTGACATATCACGTCAATCACGTCAAAATAATATTCCTAAACTTTCTCAAACATCTAGGTATCGACCACTTATAGCTATTGGAAATATGGCTAGTTCAAGTAAGTTTATGTTTTTCATTATACAATTTCTTCAATGAAAAACTTTTTCTATCTATAATAAATAGATGTGATACTCAGACATGCACACGATTCACGAATACCATTAAAACGAGACGTTTTCCTTAATCGACAAGAAACAATTACCTATAATGTACATTCAACTGGATCGGATTCTACGGGTTTAATGAAAGCACATGGTATTATTATGATATTTACTTGGATAGTCCTTGTTTCAACTGGTATTCTTATTGCACGTTATTTTAAATTATCATGGTCAAATAAAAAAATATGTAATAAAGCAGTTTGGTTTGCCATTCATCGTGCAATCATGACTTGTGTTGCTATATTAACATTAATTGCATTTGTTTTGATTCTTGTCTATAAAAAAGGACAATGGGTACCACAACATACTAAAATTGAATTTGTTCATTCAATATTTGGTATATTTGTCATTAGTTTTTCTGTAATTCAACCATTTATGGCATTATTTCGCTGTAATCCAGATGCTCACTATCGGTTTATATTTAATTATGCACATGCAACTGTTGGTTTTAGTGCACTTACATTTTCAATAGTAGCCATATTTTTAGCAATGTTTTTCACAGAACTTAATTTTCAATTGAAGAAAGAATGGGCAATTCTAGTTGTATGGTTATGTTGGTTACCGATTATATTTATTATATTTGAAGTAATTGAAATTTATTTTCCAAAATTTTCACCATCAATAGAAAACGGAAATTCAATTGCTATGTATGATCAGTTAGGAAGTAATACAACGAAAACAGAAACAATATCGGTGGTCAAACCTCGTAAAAAAGACCGAATTAAACTGTTTGCTCTTTTACTTCATATTCTAATTGCTATTGGGTTAGCATTAGCATTAATGATTCTTATTGGACGATCATAGAAATATTGAGAATTGAAAATTTTTTCTATACATGTACATTATAATGTCATCTCTAATTATGTATTCATTCAGTTTCTTTTGCATTAAACATTTAATCTATTAGAACATGAAACAAACTTTAGTTTCAAAACAATCAATGAAACACTTATCAATATTTTTTAGCAATGCAAAATAACGTTAGAATTGCGTTTCGTTTACTTTTATAGTTTTAAAAGGTACAAGGATGATATTGTTGGAATCAACTATTGATATCTGGCATATATCGATGCCAATATCGAGTCAAATTGTTTTTATTTGAATTTATGATAGACTTGTAGTACAATGATACTAAAGCTGTTAAACAACGACAATGTGCTATATGTACTCGACTAACTAAAATCAAAATTGACTCAGTGGCTCAAATTTATAAAATTCCAAATCTTGAATAAAGAGTTTTAATTTAGAGGTATTTCTAACTAGTATATAAACTTAGTTGCATATATCGTAAACAAACGTAAAAATCTTATGTATGATTTTCAAATTCAAACAAAATCCATTCATTAGTCTAGCGAAAAATTTGTTTAGTTGCACGATTTCAAATGTCAGCTTCTTAAATATGAATTCATTCTATCAATGAGAAATTATCAAACATGCAATCGTTGCAGAAGTCTCGCAACACTTCATATTTTCAAGTCATGTATTAAAAGAACATACACAACCTTAATTTAATGTGATGATATACCTCTATAGAATAAAAACTTTAGGACAAATAGAAACAAATGACATTAAAATGACAACTTATCATCGTTGTTACAAGTCTTAGTAATTTCGTCACACAGACTAAGCCCAATGTATTATCGAATCTATATAAAAATATGTAGTTCGGGAGGTGGTGTAGACATATCATTTCCTTCTAGTCCGTCATTTGCATCGTGTGAACTTACAAAGAGAAATAGAAACTTTAACGGACTACATATCATGCGCTTAATTGTTATCCTATGAGTTTAATATTAAATACAATAAAATTCACAATAAATCAAAAATAAAAGATACATTTCATAATGTAGAACGTTAGAGATTAGTAGAGGTCATAAAATTGTGTTTACTCAAGCAGTAAAACGTTATTAGTTCATTATGCAATGGATTATTTCACGCATGGAAGCATACTGGAAAAAAGTTTAGTCACAAAAATGCACAATGAATGGTATATAGCAAAAGAAGAAACCTTTAAACACTATCATGATCATTGTGCTAGTCCACATGGGAAAGATGTATATAGAAATTGTCCATTTTCATTAAATCATCGTCACTCATAAACTTATAACAATATCATGCTGTCTTTTTTTTCTACCTATGAGGTTTCTATCTATTCATTGTATTTTATATTCAACCATTTCTTCTATTAAATAGATATATATATAGGAAGTGGCTATGTGCACTCGAGTGCACATAGCCGCATCTTAGTGTATTGGCTATGTACACTCGAGTACACATAGCCAGTCGGCTATGTGCACTCAAGTAGGTATTATCAACTAGTTACTAAATATTGAGATATATTATAGCCATATATGTACTTCATAATTAACATGAGTAAAATTTATTAATTTATTAATAATTTTACTCTATTTATTTGTTGTTAAATTCAAATAGAGTATAAAACAAGTAGTAATATCAAACATATATAAAAGAAAAAGTTAATTCAAATAAAAATCAACTCATTTAGAAATATTTCTAGCGTTTGATCTCTTAGATTTTGAACGAAATGGTTGAATTTTATTATTTTCAATACATCGGACGGAAACTATATCGATGCCAGTGTGTTTCTTCTCTATTAATTGTGCCTTCTTTCTCTATTGATAATTTATAGAACGAAAGATTCTATGTTTTCTTGATTAATTAGCTTACAAAATGGGAAATTGAAAAACATAAAATTCCAATTAGCTTTTAATCTGGAACGAGATATCCTTTTATTAAGATCCATTGATTAATCCTCACTAAAGAATAAGAATTAAAACAAGATTATTAACTGAGATTTTTTCAAGATGAGAAACAATAGCTGTCAAAATTAGAGATACAATCAGAAACGAATGTAAAAGAAAATTTTATCATTATTGTTTTATAAAAAGATATTTTTATATGATTAATGTTAGTTATATTGAAAATAATGAAAATACAACTATTTCCTTGAAAAATTTAAGAGAGTATGTGCTAGAAATATTTGTAAATCAGTCGATTTTTACTTGAATTAACTTTCTCTTTTATATTATTTTGATTGTAATACTTGCTTTGTATTTTATTTGAATTTAATAAAGACTAAATAGAGCAAAATTGTTAATCAATTGATAAATTTTAATTATAATAATTATAAAGAACATATATGGCTATAATATAACTCAATATTTAGTAATTTTTTGATAATACCTACCTGAGTGCACATAGCCACTTCCAACTTTTTATCCACCAGTAAAAATCGAGATGTCTCGCTTTTTTTCGCTGAAAGTACCTTAGGAGGCACCGGTATGGTCAGTATTCTATTTCAAATGACTATCGATCCCACAATCTCATCGACTCCATTCGCCTCTATCGAAGAGGTGACGAATTTCGAGCAAGAGGAGGAAATTCTCTTTTCAATGCACACAGTTTTTCGAATTGATGAAATTCGAAAAATAGACGACAAAAGTCCGCTTTACGAAGTGGATCTTAAACTCACACCAGATGATGACAAACAACTACGCCAATTAACCGACCGCATACGAGAAGAGGTTACTGGTACTGGATGGTATCGAATAGATAAATTGTTGCTCAAAATAGGTCAATTCGACAAGGCAAAAGAACTATACACTGCATTGCTAGAACAGACATCTAACGATAGTGACAAAGCACATATCTATAACTGGCTCGGACAGGTGAAACGGGAGCAAGGACAATACAAAGAATCAATTTCTTTTTACGAAAATGCACTCGAAATCCATCGAAAAAATCTCCAGGAAGATCATCCAACATTAACTTCTGTCAACAACAACATTGCTCAAGTGTATAACGACACGGGTGACTACTCGAAAGCACTTGAACTTTACGAGAAAGGTCTGGAAATCACGGAAAAAACTCTACCTCCAAATCATCCCGGTGTGGCTACTTTCTACAACCACATCGGTCAAGTGTATGACAACATGGGTGATTACTCGAAAGCACTTGCATTTTACGAAAAATCACATAAAATCTTAGAAAGCGCTCTGCCTCCGAATCACTCTTCCTTAGCTTCTTCATACAACAACATGGGTGGAGTGTATAAGAATATGGGTGACTACTCCAAAGCACTTGAATTTTACGAAAAATCACTTACCATAAAAGAAAAGGCCCTGTCTTCGAATCATCCTGATTTGGCTGCTTCTTACAGCAACATCGGTGAAGTGCATACCAACACAGGTGACTACTCAAAAGTACTTGAATTTCACGAAAAAGCACATAAAATCTACGAAACAACTCTACCTTCGACTCATCCTTGGTTGGCTACTTCCTACAACAACATCGGTGGAGTGTATTACAACATAGTTGACTACTCGAAAGCAGTTGAGTTTTTCGAAAAAGGTCTGGAAATCATGGAAAGAGCTCTACCTTCGACTCATCCCTGGTTGGCTACTTCCTACAACTACATCGGTCTAGTGCATAACAACATGGGTGATTACTCGGAAGCACTTGAATTTTACGAAAAATCGCATAAAATCTTAGAAAGCGTTCTGCCTCCAAATCATTCCTCATTGGCTGCTTCCTACAACAGCATCGGTCAAGTCTATAACGACATGGGTGATTACTCGAAAGCACTTGAGCTTTACGAAAAAGGTCTGGAAATCACGAAAAACGCTCTGCCTTTGAATTATCCCGATTTGGTTCTTTCATACAATAACATTAGTGGAGTGTATAAGAACATGGGTGAATACTCAAAAGCACTTGAATTTTACGAAAAATCACATGAAACCAACGAAAAAGCTCTGTCTCCGAATCATCCCTCATTGGCTACTTCCTACAACAACATCGGTGGAGTGTATTCCGCGATGGGTGACTACATGAAAGCACTTTAACTTTATCAAAGGTCGCATAACATAAGAGAAGCAACTTTACCTCCGACTCATCCTGACTTGGTTCAATCCTACAACAACATCGTTGCGATGCATCATAACATGGGTGATAGCGCGCCAGCTCTCAGCGTTCATCAAAATGATTTCTGAATTCAGCAGAAACCATTTGAAGAAGGTTGTAACGGCACTATGTGTCGCTCCCTGTGTATTATGGTCTATTCATTTCTAATATTTGTCTTTCTCACTTTGTTTTCTCTCTCTATTGTTTTACTGTTTTTCGCGCTCATCTCAAGAATACTATTATTAGTAGAAAAAGACAGTTGTATATTTTTGAGTGTGGATTGTGAAGTTGTATATTTATGTGAGTATTATAGGTAAATAACATACGTCTCTATATTCCATCTATTTGCTTTTTCTCTTTATTATTTATCATCGAGAGAGGATTGATTTGGTTTATTGATGTTGTTTATCTGACATTGAACTTGCTGAACATCAAGACATCTTAAAGGTATGCTAGCTTTTGCTTCATCATACAATTGGTTAAGAAGGATTTATCGCAGTATAAAAGATTATTCAAGAGCACTTGATAATTATGAAAAGAGTCTCACAATAGATCAAAAAATACTATCTAAAAAAATCCAGATTTTGGTATAGCATAAAGTAATATTGATGATCTTCATCGATTAACGGTTAATTATGAAAAAGCACTTTCATTTCATCGGAAAGCATTGAATATTCAGAAAAAATCTTCAACGCGATTCTCTGGTATGAGCAACGACAGGTACAAATTAGGGTGAAATATATTGAGAAATGAAAGATTATCCGACACTATTGACATATTTCGAAAAGGAACTAGGCATAAGTGAGAAGAAGCTATCAAAACTCACTCACCCATACATCCACATCCTAGGCACTATGTATCGCTTTGTATAATTGTGTTACGTT